TTAATCAATGAAAACTTCCCTTGGGATTTTAAAAGTCATTGGTACGCCTACAGTCAATAATATCGCCAAATTGCCAAAAATCAGTGCAGTACCGGTGGCAGAGAATGGGAGGGTGATATATAATATATAAAATAACTCAGTGATTTATCGTGATCAAGTTAGGAATGATAGAGCTATTTTTCAAAGCGGTTGACGTGGAAGAATATTGTTTTAGTTACATTTGTAGAAAATTTCCGATGCTTCATAAGGAAAAGTTGAAAGGTACAATATTTAATGGTTATCAAATACGGTATTTAATGAAAGTTACAGAAAGTTATGAAGATTATGACTGTTCCGAAAATTGAAGCTTGTGTTGATAGTCAAAAATTTTACAGGTAACCATAAAGCACAAAATTATAAGGATATTGTTAAAAATGACAAACTTTCAGACACTAAAAGCAAATATGAGTATCAAGTTAGGTATGGTTTAGGCAATCATATGGATAAATTTTCGATAATCTACGAAATTATTATATAGGTATATGTAGAGAGAGAGCATACAAAATGATTAATATTTTCATGAATTGTGAGCACAAATATATCCAAAATCGATCTTATATTTAGAGCAACAAAACTACTGAAGACCAGTGTAGCTTAAAATTTTAATTTAATACAAAAATTAATGTAAAAAAACTTAAAAATACGTGCAAAATGTAGAATCGTATAGTAAAGTAACTAAGGGTTGTAAAGATGAAATCGAGTGTATTATAGGTTATATAACTTACACCGTTCTTACGACAATGGTGTTTCCGGAACGGGCCCGAATTTTTATCCGAATGAACAGAACTCCTCTAATTTTTCTACTGTTACAACATTAATAACAAAAAATATAGTTAACAAATTTAAACTTTTTTCATATACTATTTAAAAATATAGTACAAAGTATTTAAGTATTTTTTTATTTATATATTTTATCACTTGTTGCTTTTTATTAAAAAGAGAATCGCATTTTAGTAAATTGATTTCAAAAAAACTTGAAACTTGAAGTTAATTAACTAATAAACAGTTAATTTAGATACCGAACTGTAATTTGGTAAAGGGGATCAGGTTAATGGCTGAAATTTTTTTAAAAGTGGGCGTATCCCCGATGAAGCTAATTCAACCAAATTTGCTGGGAGGAAGTCTTTTCAGCACTTTTTCATACGTTGTGAAAATGGGTAAAATCAGATAACAACCACACCCACTCCCCATATAACGGTTATGTTGAAAACTACTAAAAGTGCGATAACTCCCTAAATAAATGCGCTATAAACATTAAATTTCACAAAAAAGATGCTTCGGAAGAGCTATATAAGAGGAGGTGTTATTGGAAAATGGGCGTGGCACCACCAACCTTAGGGTGAAATCCTATAACTCAGGAACTATGTAAGGCAACCCGCCCATTCCTATATCACACTGTGAAAACAAGCGAAATCGAACAACGACTAAAAAACTATGCAGCTAAAAGTACGAACTATCCACGCTGTCATTTGAATAACGAATTTACTCCAACGCATCCTTAAAGAAGTGAAAAACTAAAAACTAATAAACATGCTTTCAAAGCACTTCAAACTAAAAAGTGAAAAATAATTCCCTTAATAAATTGATAGTAATATTGACCAATACATATATTGTATTAATGTGAGAAAAGCGTGGGATGGTTGATCTGAATATTTTATTTTGAGATTGTAGCATCGCCTTGGACAAAAATCTTTGCCAAATATCATGAAGACATATTGTCAAAAACAAAAGTATTCCATACGAGGACGTGATTTTGGTTGGTCAGTTTTTATGGTAACTAAATGTTATAGTGTTGGTATAAATTAACAACTTTTTGGGAAGAAAAGGACGTGCGCACCATTTGAGATACAGAGATAGAAGGACATGGCTAAATCGTCCACAGTAAACAGTTTGTTACCCTGATTATTTATATTTTGTATTCATTTGGGTGTTATACACTCCGTGGCAAACTTAATATACTCTGTTTAGCGTATGAATATTACAAAGCAATAAAATCAACTGCAATGATAAGGATAACGAATTTTGTTCATACTTCGATAACACAATCGATATTTCGCAAAAAAAGCATAAACGAATTAAAACTTTTTAACACTCAGAATTCAGTATTGAGTGAAGTACTCAAATTGCGCTCAAAAAGCTTTAAGTGTACACCGAATCGGCTCGTCTTATGCTATTATATATGCAACCCCGTAACTAATGATGCATTATATATTAAATATTATACAATTTCTTCAACATTGTTGTTATGCAATTGAAAATATATGTTTTCTTTCCTGCGCTACAACGTGCCCCCTTTTAGGTCGTCTTATGGCAAACGATAAGTGGGTAAAAGTTTCGACGGTTGACGATATCATGTTTGGCTGTCTGCGCTTTTGTTGTTGTAACACATAATTCTCATATTATATATACATAGTATAATAGATACTAGAAGTAAAAATAAAAATAAATAA